AATTCATGCGTCCATACAACACCCTCAATTAGCAACGTGATAACGAGATTCAGATTTCCCATCATCAAAACCCTCCCCATTCCGAGTTTTCAAGTTATTTTCTAAAACTGTAAAATTTATAAAATAAATAGTAAATCTAAAATTAATCTTTAATTCCCTAGTAATATTTTGTTAAGGCAGATTTGGCTAAATCTCATTATTTTCATGCTTACAATTTATAGTTACTCCATGGCCCAATCACTACTGACCACCCTGTATAAAACCATAAAAGTAAAGTAATAATAATACTAATACTTATTTATTTTTTCAGAATAATTCAGTTATCGAATCTGGTTCAGATGTGATTCCTCCCTTATCCAAAGATCTAAATTGTATGCTGAGTACTATTTTAACTATTCTAACTCATTTTATACAAGGTACTTCCACAAAAGAAGATGTGAACAGTACGACCTCTACTGCGACGTCCAGTCCTAATAAAGACGCTAAAAGATTATCAGGATTCATGAATGAACTAGGTCCAACGATTACCATAACTTCACCTAGCAATGCAGACACATCATCATTAAGGTAAAGTCACACATTTAATACCAAGTGGGTAATAATTAAATTATATACATATTACGTGTTTAATAAGAGACAAAGAATTGTATAAAGTATTTACTAAACAAAATTTATCGAAACGACGTCAACTTTAAGGAATTGTTATTAAAAATCGATTTTGTTAGCAGTTTTAGCGAAATAAGAATATTTTTTTTAATTTGCACTCTAATGGGCTGCATTCCATTCCATTTTAAAGGGAATTGTTTCTTATTTTTACTAGTATTAAGAGTCCTCGCAGTTTGTTAGACAACTTTCTTGACACCCTGTATAATATTTTGCGCACTTAGCTTTTATCAGTAAAGATTTATTAATATTTTTATTTCTATCTCTCTTTACAGCAGCAAATCGTTAGATGTCATACCCCAAACAGGAGATGAGGAAAATTCTGGATCGTCATTATTACAAACTACTCCTAATTTAAGTCGATCCAGTCCAGTAAGTTTCATCATTTTTACAACCTTTTTTCAAATCTTGCAACTGAATTTTAAAACAGTTATCCCCAACCAATTGAGCTGAAATTTTGCATACACGTTTAATTTGGATTACAATGTATGTTGGTACTAAAGGCTTGTTTTTAAAAAAAAACTTTTACTATGTCAAAGTTTTTGCACAAACTCTATTAGACATCCCTACGAGAAGATTTACTTTCATTTTCTCTGATAGATTTTAAAATTATACAAATTGTAGGGATTTCTTCTAGAGAAAAAATGAGACGAAATAATAGCAATAATAAAACAAATTTTTGCTCAAGGATACTTGGTAGAAAATAAAATTTATAGGTTATTAGATCTACTACACAAAATTCATTTTTAGAATTTATCAGCCGAAGAAAACCAAAGCGGCAATCAGATAACTACACCAACGAACATCAGCGATAAAAAGGTTGTAAAACTGCTAGAGAAGGCCATCATCATGATTGAGAAAAAGAAGAAAAATGTAACACCCAAACAGGTAAAGAATTTCCGCTCGTTTTTCGTACTAAATATTGTTTCCAGTTTACATTTAAGAAGAAGAATGCCAAACTAGTTCACACACTATTAGAACCAATTTGAGTCATGTTTCAATTAATAACAGAATATCAAATCCATATCAAATCTCAAAAATATTAAAATCAATATATTTTTTTATTTGTTCAAATTCATTTGAAAAATTCGCTAATTCAATGGTAACATATATAGGGTGTCGCATAATTAGTGTCCAATCATTTACCTCTATTGAATCTATTGCCAAAAATGAGAATATTTTTTCATGTATAAACATTGGTCGAGAAATGGTTCCTAAGGCAGCTACGTCATCCTAAATGGGGCCTCAAAAAATTCATAAATAATTCTCAAATGAGTTGAAGGAAAATTATGAATTTTGACACCATGAACGCTCATTAAAAGTCGAAATAGAACATCATAAAATTTTTCAAAAATTGTGATCAGGGGCGTCTCAATTGGGGGGTCGTCGGCTAAAATTTTCCCCATTTTTTTGCTTTTCGAAATTTTCAAATTCCAAAAAAAAAACGGATTTAAATGCTTAGAAAACCACACTTTGGGAAGTTTTATAACATATTTAAACCGATTTTTCTCGAAATCGGATTACTTTTTCGATATAAAACAACATTGCCATTTTTAATAGAAAATTCAGGATCTATGTACCTATTTTAGCTATTCAAGAATTTTTTTAATTTTATTAATGTATGTAATAAAATGCTTAGATCCGATTTTCCCGGAAATGGAGCATTTTATCGAAATAACTAAAGAGTACCTTTTTCGTAGAGGAAATGAGGGTCTATCATATGTTGGCATCTGAATTTGAAAATTTCGACAAGCAAAAAAATTGAGGCAAATTTTAGCCGACTACCGAATTATATTATTATATATTTCGACTTTTAATGAACATTCGCGATGTCAAAATTCATAATTTTCCTTCAACCCATTTCGGAAATATTAAAAAAATATGAATTTTTTGAGGCCCCATTTAGGGGGGCGTAGCTCCCTTAGGAAGCATTTCTCGACCCATGTTTGTATGAAAAAATATTCTTATTTTTTGGCAATAGAATCAAGTGGTAAATTATTGGACACTAATTATGAGACATCCTGTATAAGTTCAGACCATACCAGACCAGTCAAATAGACCAATAGAAACACGCACAATATCATTCTCTTAAGAGATGCAAATTTTATTTAAAAATAGTGTACATACATTTGTAAAAAACATTAACATCAGACTACTTTTTTGACAGTTCCTTAGATCTTTCGAAAATTCGAAAAAAACGGTGGAAACGTTTTGAGAAAAAATTGATTTCGTTTTATTTCTTTTTAGGTTTCTTTTGGTACCTAAGTAGAAACAATGCCGAAAGTTTGTTTCAACATATCTCTTAAAATCCTAAAGAACTGGAAACTGTTTCTTTTTAAAATTACTTAACTATTAAAAATTGAATGTCACCAATAATTAAAAATATTTTCGTCCCTGTTCAAAAATTAATATTGTTTGTCTCGTTTCTTCATTCCTCCCATTAGTTAAACTTATTTATACATTTTTTGTACTTTTTAGAGGACCTTTTCTGTAGGTAAAACCAAATCAGTTTCAAGTCCCAATTTGTCTACTAAGAATAAAACTGTATCGCCAGTTCCCGCCAAAGGTTCAGCAAAGAAAGCTTCTGTGAAACCGTTACCCTCAAAAGCTCCAGCTGCAAAGTTCCCTGTAAAAACCACCCCTACTGTTTCAGCTAAGACCCCAAGGAGGGTGGAACCTAAAACCAACGAGGAACAAAATAAAAGTGCAACAAATAAACCCAAGAAAGTTATCAATTTATATGCACACGTAAAATCTACAATCCCAAAACCTAGCCCTGTTGGAAAAGTCGTCAAAAAAAAATGATTGTCATATTTTATAATTTTTTTAAATTGTTTTAATCGTTTGTATAATTATTAACATTAACATGATTGTATTATGTAACTGTAATTTTATATTGAAAAAGTGAATAAAATATTATCTATTATGTGCATTATCTGTGGTATTCTGTCGCGGGAAATACTATCACCCTTTAAATGAATTTTCTTCTGCAAAATGTTAGAAGGTAAATATTAAAATGCAGCCGCATTGCACTTTTACAACAATTTAATTCTAAAATTAGTATCTGGTATCTATGCTTCAGTAAGTTTTGAACTTGAACACGGTTTTATAAAGACCAACATTTTTAATCTTGTTCTCTCAAGGAAAGAAAATGGAAAGTTACTGCAAGCAAATGATATATCAGATTTGTATGTTAGTGTAGTTGAAGTATGTCGAAGGTAGAAAGGTATTTAATGCAACTGCGTGAAACGCTTTCGAGGGTGATAAATCCGAATTTGAGGTCCAAATGACGTAATATTTATAAAAACATTAAAATTCTAAGCTTGTGATGGTTTTGTTGCTGCATAATCTGGTGCATATCTGTTATTACTTATCGCTTTGTCCTTGGAAGAGACCCACCTTACAGTTTCATCATTGATCTAACATATCACGTCCTACCAACTGTTCATAACAAATTAAAATGATGTTATGTTATAAATGATGTTACCATTTATGAATAATTTGTCTGAATTCGTATTCAATATTGGACACAGCTCAAATTTGTAAAGTTAAATTTGCATTTAAATATATTTTATATTTGATATTAGTTTAGTTTGCTTTCAATTCAAGTATGCGCCTTCCAGAAGATCAATGTCTTTGGTTCTGGACAGATAAGGTTATAAAATGGACAAAGGATATCAATCCGCATATCAGTAATCATTGGACAAGTGTAGAAAGCTGTATTAATGCTTAGAGCTTTAAGCATTAAAAAGGTTTCAATCCCTTATCGTCTCCCTTTTACTTTATAGCTTTCCGGCTCTACTATGAGGAACGCACATTGAAGGATATAACCAGAAATATATGCTAGTTTAATTTTGCTAAACTGTTCTCATAAAACTCTTTAGGTATTTCAGATGGATGCGATAGTGGTCATACACTGGGGATTCAAAAAATAAGCGTCCTGCCCTCTAGCGGAACTGGTTTATACTTAGAGAAAGCAGATAAATTGTAAAAGAGGTCTTCTCTCTTTAAAGTTAGTATCTTTGATAAAATGTAAATAAACTCAAGAAAAGTGCGGTAAGTAAAACATTTTGTAGTGTATGTACCTGAATGCAAATCTGAAGGTACCTAATACAGATTTAAAAGTTCCTTAAACATTAATCATTCTTTTTCTTCTTTTACATTTTGAGATAAAAATTTCAAAATTAGATCAAACTTTTTATGCAACCAGATATACATCTCTGTGCTGTGGATTTAGTATAACCTTAATATTTTCTCTTTTTTTAGTACCTAATTTTTATTTTAAAAAATACAGCATATTTTTAAATAATTATACTTGAGCTGGATTCTTAGATCAGTTCGTTACACAAATAAGCATTTAAAATACTACTTTATGGAAACGTTTTGTGATATCCATCAAGAATACATATTATAAAACATGATGCCGTCAAATGCTCAATTTCTCACGAGTTAAATAAACAAAGACAAAACAAGCTTTCTTCAGTTGCCATTTCGGTTTTCCGTCTTCCGTGGTGTGTTTGTGATTTCCGTTGAGGCAGTTACGTCTTATTTTTGCCAAAATAAACAATATTATTTGTTATAAATTCCAAAACATAATCAACTTGTTACATGTGTCTGTGAGGTGTGAAAAATACTTTAATTAAATGAATGTAAGTTTGTTAAGTAATTGTTTTAAATACCTACTTATTTATTGAGGTTATTAACTTTTGAGTCATCAATTAAGGTTACATATACACATTAAAACCACTCCCATTTTTATGTTTCCGTATTCGATTTAAATGTATCTACACGTTAACCTATATAATTTATTTATTTAGGTGATTTGCAATGTCTGCAGTATTCGATGATAGAGAAGCTTATAGCAAAAGCCCATATTTCACGAAGCACGAATACGGCGACTTCACACCATTTTACATCGCAATTACAATTTGTACTGTAATTGGACTAACAATCTTCATCTTAAACGTAGTTTTAGGCTGTTGCTCGAGATATTCAGGTTACTGGAACGATAGACATACAGGTAAGACACAGCATACTTAAAATTTCAGCCGTTTTCAATTTTCAAACTTAGGTAACCGTTGGATAGCTTCTCTCTGGACGGCTACTCCTCACCAACAGCCAGCTTTGGACTACACTGAATTGCAAGATATTTACGTACCCCCTCAACACCAAGCGGTTTATCACCACCCTCCAACCCCTCCGCCGCCAATTCAATACCAGGAGCTTAAAAAGAAGGAAAGCGACATATAAACTACGTGAAAATGTTTCACGTATACTGGCCGGCTACGGCATGTCTGACTCTGTTTTTAATAGTTGGCGTAATCATGGTTATGCTGCGTTGGGGACCGAGGATATGTCGCACGAGAAATGTCGCTCTGCCCGAACGTACCGACTGGCAGCACCGGGTGTATGAACAAACTGTTACATACGCATAACAGGCATTTTTAATTTACAGTCGGCTAAATAAGTATTTCTAGTTTACATTCAACTAATGACTAATAATTATGAGAGTTTGGGCATTATACAGGGTGAGTCAAATTAAACTTCACATCTGAGAGTTTGGGATAGTACACAGAAAGTTGGCTTTGGTTCCATCCATAGTATACTGTCAAATTTATGGTTAAAACAAATGGGCGTGTATCGTCTCGAAAAGCGAGCATTTTTGGAAAAATATTTATATGAAAAACCCTATTTATTTACTGTCACAAACTCTTTGGTGCCATGTTAAATATGACTCACACTGTACAAGTCAACAAAAGTTTTCGGTTATTTTGAAAATATGATTTAACTTTACTAAGTGGGCAAATTGAAACAGTAGTCATAATTTTATTATAAAAATTAGCACTTAAAATATATTAAAGCAGCTATTTGATACATCTGGGCATAAACAAAGATGGCTCAATTTTTCTAGATTTTTTTTTTTTTTCAACAGTCCTCCTGGGTCTATACACCATACAACTTAATGGCACTCCAGTTTTTTAATCCCATCCATATGTTTATCAAAGCCCTTAACATAGGACATTGTTTCAGCTATGAAGTCATCGTTACGTGTGAATTGTTCCTCAAGCTATTTTTTCAGATTAGGGAATAAATAAATAATAGTCCGAGGGTGGTAAATCTGTCCAGTATGGAGGATATGGGAGGATTTTGATCAAAAAGAAATTTCTTTTCTGCCAGGTGTGGATATTTCTTTATCCAGTAAAGATGTACAGTATATTCCAAGTTTATTTCTCACCGTTTCAAACAGAAATTTTCTTATTTCTGTGAGCCTTATTTTTTTGGCAACTAATTGTGATAAAGCTATGATATTTACTGTTACAGTTTGTATGCTGTCAGTTATCAGATTGATCAATTACGAAATACTCTGGTACAAGTACAAAGGTTCACGTTAACATAACATTTTACAAATATCTCTTCTGTTAGGAAGTAGTGGAATGTAAATGAACTTTTATTATTTTTTTAAGTAAACTACTAACATTTTTTGCCTTAATCTGAAACTAGATGATAAAACTGGATATTAATCAGTGCCCTTTAACTATATTTTGGTATAGCTGAAGTATTATTTAATTCAGGAGTTGACAACCTGTGGCCCGCCATAAATTTTTGCGCGGCCTGCCAATCAATAAAGAATAACATTGACTTTGTTTTTAGTGCATTAGGACTAGGTTCCAACAGTCAGACATAATTAATTGTATTTGATTTGAAACAATAAAAGTGGTCTGAACTTCTAAAAAAGGTTGCCAACCCTTGATTTAAATATTGCACTGAGATTAAATTTTCGTTTAGAAAGCCACTAGGCTTCTGTAGATAAGTGCCTAAAATATACATTGACATTTTTTTACACAATGAAATTTTATAATTTTTTACTGCTTTGGATAATCGATATTCTACTTCATTTGGTTGTTGTACAATACGCATTTTCTTTGTCTGATTTATGTTATACAATTTACTATTTTTTTACTACTTTTGTACATGACTGATAATGAAAATTTGTTATTTCGCAATTTCAGTCAAATTTTATATACAGGGTGTAACGTAAAGATTGGAAATAAATTAATTGGTGGATTTTTTATTTAAAAAAATAAATATTTGTCGTATAAAATTATGCTCTACGGGTTTTCTTTTCAAAGCTACAGGGCGCTAAAAAATTTCAAAAAATTTAGTTTTTTAAAATCATTTTCAATGCAAAAGTATTTTTTTAATGCCTATTTAACCATGTTCGATGGCCGAGTCAAAGCATACTTCATAATGTTTTTGTTATTTTTATTTTCCAATGTTAGCAGTGGGAAAAAATTGTATTTACAAGTTTTATTTACGGAAAAATTTCAAGTGCTAGAAATAAAATGCAAGAGGGTAATTTTGTTTAAAATAAAAAGTGGATCATAAAAAAAATATTAAAAAAAAAATGTTTTTACCAGTGGCGTACTACAATTTTGTTCGAAAAACTTTACGGTACAATCCGTACGCACGCCACTGAGTAATTTACAAAGTCAATATTTTTCCCGTTACTAGGGGATTATCAAATTAAGGTAATGCTAAAATTTCGTTCCATTCTCTTATAACGTTCCGAAGTTATTGGAGAAAAACTAAATTTTTTGAAACTTTTTAGCGCCATGTAGCTTGGAAAATAAAACCCATAGCGCATAACTTCATATGAGAAAAAATTATTTTTTAAACCAAATAATCCACCGTTTCATTTATTCCCAACCTTTATGTTACACCCAGTATTTTTAGTTGATAAATGTACTAATTTAGATTATAATCCACAAAGTTTTATATTTTATATGCAATTTATTGAATCTCTAATCTTATCATGACTATGGGTCCGTCCATTTTTTTATTGTTATTTTATACTGAGCATTTATATGCATTAAAATATTTACTACACGTTTTTTTTATTCCTATAATACATAATACAATCCTTTAATGTACATTTATTTGAAGACAAAAATTTGATAAACATTCAGGGTGAAATACAGGGTGTCCCGAAATTACGGGACAATATTTCTACAGGGTGTTCTATGTTGAAAAATATTACTTTTTCTTTATATAAACATGGGTCCAAAAATTCTTCCTAAGGAAAGGATCACTTAAAGAAGCCAGTCGAAATAAATTTATGAATTTTGGTAACTAGCGCTTATCTCTTACGTGCTCAGTCCGTTACTAAAACGAAATTTACAAATTTTCATCACATACATTCCAAATCTGGGGGGAAGGGGGGTAAAATTTACCATAACTTTTTTATGCTTTGACTTTTTTGATTTTTGACTGAAAAGTATGAAATTTCAGAGGTTTTTAGTAAAAAAAGGTATTGTTGGCTCAGATTAGTAGAATGTGCCAGTTTTGTGTAAAATACATTTAAAATTTACTTTTTGCGAACTGTTATCAGTCGAAAATGCAACATTTTACAAATTTAGAGATAGCAGATATTCATAATACTCATTTCTGGTCAGACGATTTTTTATAACAATTTGTTTTGTTAATTTATTCACATAGAATCCCACGTTAAAAGCATTTTAGTCGTACCTTGTATAGATTTTCTAAAATACATTTTTAAAAAATATATTTCCAAATCAGTAGCGGCTGGTGCGGAGGGGCTCTGTAATGTGCAGTCAATTTATCTCGACTTGCAAAATTCATTTAAAAAACACTGAATGTATGGGCTCCTTGTAGCTCGCCCCTAAATAAGTAGTGTTTACAGCGGTGGTCCTGGTTACCGTCACGCAGCAGTGAAAGACGGAGAGAGAGTAACACATATTTACTATGCACTTTGGGCTCTGTTTAGTCCGCTTTTAACCAAATAATGACTATTCGCTGCTTTTTTTTTTCTTATTAAACATTACTTGTTTACATGTGTAAAATTTTGTTACCTGCGTATTGTTTCTTCTGTGTTTTTTAAAAGATTGTTTTGAAATTAGATTGGTAGTCAGACTAACAGCACTTGCAATACTACCTATTGAAAAATCAATGTTGCGAGAAATAACAAACTTTAATGGAAAAGTAACTGAAAAGTTTATTTTGGACAAAAGCAGAACAGCCTTACACTATAAAAAATAATGTTGAGCACATTTTCCCTAGATTTCAGTAGTTCTTAAAATAAAACTATCCATTGGACTGTTTTTTTTTTTTCAATACTTTGTACCTAAATTTTTCCACCACAGTTTCACAAAGTTTTATCATTGAAATTTTGCAGAATGGTTTGTGTAGTTAATGCAAATCATTGACATATTTTCTATATTTTAATTGTATCAGTCTCCTAGAAAATGAGAGTGGCGCCTAGCTTATTTATATAAAAAAAAACGAATTCATATGCCACTGACAAAATACAAAAATGAACATTTTTCAAATTTCTAATCTCAAAAACATGTTTTCATAAACAATTCAACCACATTGTATATATCAAAGAATCATGTTTCTTCTTCACAGAACTTTATTTAACATTAATATAATTAATTTAAAAAATTATGTGTAAAAAAAGAAGAGATAAGGAATTCTATTTTGTATTATTTTTCTTTACTTTATCAGTCCATGATGGCAAACAAATTTTAGTTGTTAAAAGTATCGCCCACTCAAGGAATGATCCTATGAAAAAACAATATTAACAAATCTGGTTCTTATCTAGTTCAAGGTTGTTTATTTTAAAAACATTCTAAGCAAGGCCAAGCCAGTAGCAGGACTGCTACTGGTATTACTCATTACTATAGCTAAACGCTATCTTTATATTGTTTGCATATTTCCTGCATATGATCAGGAATTTTTTTTATTTAAAACAAGCAAATTGAGGCTAAAGCCTCTTATACTGATCGTTTATATCATCCATATAAAAAAACCAAATTATGTTGATACACTATTTATTTTAACAATGTCAAAGGAAGTGGTGTGAAAAATAGAAGAAATTGGTTAGATTGTACATAAACTTACAGCCGTTATATATGAAAATTTGTATGAAAATCTGCTCGCACCAATTGTACAAATTCTTTAACAAATATTCATACAAATACAGCAGTTTATATGGCCTTGTTTAAGTACAGTAAAATCGATCCAAATTTTTTAATGCTGTTTTGTAATCACTCATATTTGTTTTAACCTGAAATTTTTATGAACAGATTTTCCATTCAATGTAAACCGCTGCTTTACTTTATCTGTTTAGCTTGGTCAAATTTATCCCATCTTTAGCAATTAATTAGGTAAATCTTGATTGTTAAATTAAATTACCAGTTGGGTATTAGTTAATATATTGCTTAAATTACAGTTTTGTTACATTTACTTAGAGCTAAAAACCATTACACCTGACAAATATGGCAATTATCTCTTCCTCAAGATATATATTGAGAAACAAATTAATCGACAGCATTAGGGGTGGTATGTGAGACATGAGGTGTGGTGGTAACTTCTACGATATAGCTTCTTATATGTGATTGTTAACTTTTTATATTTAAAGTATATAGTCTAATAATAATTGTAACTACAATTTTTATAATTGGGAAAATACAATAGCACAACAGGATACAAACACAATACTCAAAACAACATGATTTACAAGTATGTAGAAGTTGCACAGGTTCTATTTGGGAAACAAATTTTAAATGCAAAAAATAATGCAAACAAAAAAATATTACTGGACAATAACAATGTTATCCACATAATTGTATATTCATTCATCTAAAATGAGTACAAGCTTTGAAAAATGTGAACATTTGCCACTAAATTTGTTTGGCGTTTGACAAAGAAATGTCAAATTTGCTGCATGAGCTACCTCAAAATTCATCCTTCAACATGTATACACAATATTTTGAATGTGCCATTGCTCACGAGATGATTCTTCATCAAAAAATCAAACCAACAAGTTTCTAATATTACTCCATTGTTTCTGATATATAGTGTTCACGATTTATTTTAATTTTTGTTGCTATGATTTTAACAATTCAAATGAAATTTGGGTGATAAGTTCTTCAAAATTTTTTTTTGCGGATTTCAGAAGAATCACCAAAAATAAAGACTTGAACTGGCAAAGTATGATCGCAATTTAAAATTATTTTCATGTTGCCTAATTAACAAATAAATAACAAATCCAACTTATTCAAGAAAATGAATTCAATCATTTTCAAAATGTTTTTAATGATTACGATCTGTCAACATTGGTAGTAGCTATTTTTGTTTCGAAGAAATTCAAGTTTAAAACAGTGTAAAATCAAACACTTTATGAATAAATTCATGAAGAACTTCGTGAGTTTATTTATAAATAAAATGTAAAACAGCTACAAAACAGACACATGTTGATAGGAGCTTTTTGTTTTATGGATGAGGGATCTTCCGATGAACACATGGTGTATGTTAAAAATTTGTTACAAGATTTATAAGGGACACGAGAAAACGTTCACACTGGTTTGTAAAATAATAAATTTCCTTAAGACTTGAGGGTAAGTTAAATCTAACCACCATTATTTTTATTTAATCTCTAAGTGAACTGGGGATAATCTATTAAATTATAAAAAACACAATGAAATATACCTAAGTATATATTTTACTAGTATACTCCTGATACACTATCTCCAAAAAGAAATAGATATTTGTTACGTAGTAATTGCTGATAATCCTTTATCTCAAAATATCCATAACACCAGTTAAAAACAGGATTATTAATTAACATTTGATAGTTCTATAAAATTTAGAAAACAATATTTTATGTCCAACAAATATAAACAACATTAAATGTAACGAGTTATATGATTCTGATATAAACACACATTATGTCTGAACTTTAGTTAGATTAAATATAATTCCTTAATTTGTAGTTATTCAGCATTCAATATTTTGTGGTAGGTATACAACAAACATAAAAAACCTAAGTTTTATAAATAACTAACAATTTAAGTGAAAGACAACATATGAAAAAGGAATGACACATCTCAATTTTTGCTTTTTTTTTTGTATACCTACCTTACTATTACGACTACTAATGAAGCAAACAACAAATTAACAAATATTCAGGGTTCAAGGTTTTACAGATATAATGTGAGAAATTAATTGTGCTAACCTGTTACATAAATAAATGTTCACTGTTTTAGTTTGTATAGTCAGAATTATGAATCAGACGTTTGCAAATTAATAATTGTAACAAACCCACTTCTTGTGGATGCCTGGTTTTAAATTCACTATATGAACATGAACTGCCTGGAATTTCTCAAATTTTGGGGGTATAGGGCACAAATTGTATTTAACCCTGTCCCCAGGCATTGGAACAAATTCATCCTCAATGCTGAAAAGAATACAAAAAAAAAACAGTTTAAGGAAAGTATGAATATTAATTTGGTGCTTTAACGATAAAAAATTAATATTATCGATTAAAAAAAAATTAACTAGTCAACTTTTCGTAAAATAGAAAAATTTGATATTTTTAAATTGAAAAAAAAACAAATTTACGTTCACTTCCTCTGTGTTGTTTATAAATATTTCGATATACCTACTATAAATATCTACCTAGTTATACCTTATCGTTCAATAGGTTCAATTATGACGAGGTAATTGTGAAATAAAATTTAAATTTTTAAAGCAGTAATAGATTATAAATGCAACATGTACAACATAACGTTAGTAATAAAAAATTAGAACCACAAATAGCCTATGATGTCAACACAATTTAACTCAAAAATAAATAGCTCTTAAAATTTACCAGTAAAATGTTAATGTAATCAAAGGTGCTTACGTATGTAATAAATTTTTTTATGCTTTCATTATTTCTGTAGGTATTATTACAAATAATAAATATTTCTAACTGATAAAGCGTCATTATTGATTCATGCGTAAGTTGTGTGGGTGTAAAGGTAATAAAGCAGTTGCGATAATAGTTTTAATTAGTACTCTGCCTATTTCAATTGCAAGTAGGTAAAATACAGTGACAACAAAATTTCTCACAGAAAACAAGTTCCTTGTCCGAATAATATGTACATTCAATTATATTTAACTTATATATGAAACACGCAAAAATTTTTTATGAAAGATTGTTTTAGTACCAGTGGATAAATTAAATGTACAAATTACTTACTCTGATACATGAACAAATATATCATCGGCTCCATCTTCGGGGGTTATAAACCCATGCCCTTTTTCTCGACAAAATATCTTAATGTTTCCATACAAAGGCTTTGACTTCAATATTCTTTCAGAACTAACAAATTATCAAAGGTATATTATAGATATTATTTTAATTGGTATAAATAACTTACGTTGAAGCGGATCTATTCCTTTTGGTTATAATAGGACTAGGTATTAAATGTGCTGGAATTTGATCCGAGTCTCCTCCAGATATATCTGCCATTATTTTCAGATAAAAGTTTCTAAATGATTTAGCACTAAAAATATTCAAAACCTTCAGAAAGTACTAATAAGCGCCAAATTTGTCAGTGTCACTTTTTTACTATTTTTTTTGTTCTATATTTGTGACCTTGAAGTGGTGGGTCACGTTCAGAAATCAATATTATTTAATTTACTTGTTGAAGGATGTGTTCATATTTCAAATAGAAATTTAATAATGATTCGCGCCTTTATTCCATGGCTGGAATTTGGCCTCAATGATTTGGGATCGAGGGGGATTATCCCTCTTTATCCTGCCTCATCTCGTGTAGGCCTGGACAGCCTTCGTAGGTGGGCACCATCCGTCGTCTACCCCGACCACAAATGCGGCCGGTGTAAGCGCTTTGTGGGACCTCCTTTTGTCCTGGCTGGGCCCCGCCGGCTAGGGCCCTTTCTTCTGGCGCTCTTCTTGCTTCGCCGGCTCCACCCAGGGGTGGTGTCATGTTTATGTGTGGTATGGTTGGTAGGGTAGTACGGCTATGCAGCCTGGGAAGCACTTTGCTAAGGTGGCCCTTTGGCAAGCGCGGGAGGGGAGGGGAAAGGATGATATGGGGGTGTGTGAGCGTGCGTGCGTGCGTGCGTGAGTGTGTGTGTGTTTGTGTATATGTCGTTGTCTTCGTTTTTTGATCCTGGCGGTCTCTGAAACAGAAAAGGTTAGCGGGCAGGGGGGGATGTCGTTGGGGTGGTGACCCAGGGTCAAAAAGTTTGTGTCTGGGTCTTTTGTTTTTGTCGGTCACGTCGGGTACGTAGTCAACACCATTTACAACTCCGACATTCCACATCCCCACAATACCAACATATACTTATACGCCGACGACCTGACAATCACATCCCAATTCGTAAATCCTAGATATTCCGCCTTCCTCCTCCAAAACTCCTTAGAACAACTTGAAACCTGGTGCAACAGGTGGAAAGTCAAAATTAATCCCAACAAAAGTTCGGCTATCCTTTTTTACCAAACGAAAAATCCCACAAAACCTCGACAGACTGACACTATCCCAGGAACCCATCTCCTGGAATCGACAAACACGATACCTGGGCGTTACGATGGACCAGCGTCTCACGTGGAAACCGCACATCGTGGAGACGGTGGCGCGAGCGAAGACCACCAGGGCTAGGCTCTATTCCTTACTCAAAGGTGGAAACACCCTCAGTTTAAGGAATAAGCGAACGCTTATCAAGGTTGTACTTCAACCGCAGCTAACCTACGCCTCCACGGCGTGGGGTCACGCGGCAAAAAGCCACTTAAAGTCACTACAGACTGTGGAAAACATAGCCCTCCGCACGGCCACCGACGCGCCCTGGTACGTAAGAAACACTGATGTATTACAAGACGCGGAGAGACGGTTTGACGTAGCCGCTAGACATGACAATCCCCTCCTCAGGCAAGCCGTTGACTACGTACCCGACATGACCGACAAACACAAAAGACCAGACACCAACTTTTTGACCGTGGGTGACCGCCCAACGACATCCCCCCCCTGACCGCTAATCAATTCTTCTTCAGAGACCGCCAGGATCAAGAAACGAAGACAACGACACACACACACACACACACACATACACACCCCCCATACCCTCCTTACCACTCCCCATCCGCGCTAGCCTAAGGGCCACCTTAGCAAAGTGCATCCCAGGCTGCATAGCCGCACTACCCTACCCAATCATATCACACATAAACATGACGCCACCCCCGGAGTTTACACAGACGAGCCGGCGAAGCAAGAAGAGCGCCAGAAGAAAGCGAAGAAGAAAGGCTCAGCCAGAACAAAAAGGAGGTCCCACAAAGCGCCTACACCGGCCGTATTTGCGGTCGGGGTAGACGACGGATGGGGCCCACTTACGAAGGCTGTCCAGACCTACACGACAATCTTTGCTCAGATGAAGACTGTGGCTCAGACCATAGACTTTATAAGTTTCTGTTACTACTAACACTGCTATGTAGCTTATATAATCAAGGCTTCTATTTCTTCCAACCCCTTTTAATTATCTAGTTAATTATTACCAGAATAAACTGAAGCTTATCTTACCACGTCCTTGCTTAAATGTGAAGATCATTCATTAAATTGACTTCAAGAGGAAGAAGTAGAAGAGGAACAGGAGGAAACAAAATTAATCTATGAGTGCTGGCTAAATACCCTCTGGGTGAAGGCCAATAAAAAAGAAGAAGAAGAATTAATCTATGAGTCTGTGTGCCATGTGGTATGGTTGACAATGTTGACATTTGACATATCACATATCTGTAATCTGTATCTGGTTTGGCTGATGCAATAGGTCTTATATATATTAAAGCACCATTTATAATTGTAGACAATATTGTGTAAAGTCGTGCAAAATAGTGTAATTATTACTTCTTCAGTTTAGTGAGTTTTTAAAAAGTTATAAGAAATTTAGTCATGGCAGAAGACGAAGCTGTAAGTACTTATTAATCTAATGGATTTATAGGTTATATAAATTTCTGATTTGATTTTTATTAATTCCTTATTATATGTATACTTTATTTTATGGAATAATGAAACAAAGGCAAAATACAAAGTAGTAGCTATTCAATGAGTTTATTTTATATCCACGAACATAGTGTCACACAACAGCTGCTATCAAATTTATCGCTTGTGTATTGTTGCAATTCTACCAGATCCAATTATTTTTTAATAGGCTGTATACATTTTTTTAACAGATGAAAATTTTTTGTAACTGATGGATGCCATGTATTTTTAATATATTTAAAAATTAAACTTTTAAGCATAATCACTGCCCCAGCTTTGCATGCAAATGATTTAACTTGCTTAATGCCAAAGGCTAATATTTCTGTGAAGTGCATAATTGTGTTAATGTGTATGTTTGACATTGCTAGTCTGAGATTTTCAATTCATAACGTTCAGTTGCTAGGGTTAAATGAACTGTAATGGAAAATGATTAAAGTATTTTTCTGAAACATATAACTGATACTATCCCCAGTATATGTTGATTCAAGTTATGAAGCATAAACATTTTTCAGTTTTTTGACCCCACTCTAAAGAAAAAGAAGAAGAAAAAGAAGACCACTTTCGATATCGATGCAGCCTTAGCTGAAGGTAATCAAGATAATGAAACTACAAACAACACAGTGGAAGCAGCAGAGCCTAAAGAAGAAGAACAAGATGATGCTAATGTTGATATAGATCTAGACTTCACGAAAAAGAAGAAGAAAAAGAAGAAGCCTTTCAATGCAGAAGATCTAGATGTTGCTATAAATGATTCCAAGGAAGATGGTACAGTTGATGGGGGCAATCAAGAGGACGGCGCTGTGGATGACAATTTTGATTTAGATTTGTTGGATTTCAGTAAAAGCAAAAAGAAGAAGAAAAAGAAGAAGGATCTTGACGAGTTGATGGCGGAAGCTGAAGAAAAGGCAGAAGACAAGGAAAATGGTAGGTTTTAATTTTAATTTAAAGGTAAATTATAAATCCCTATTTTTCTAGATTTTCTCAGTTTTGCTTGAGATTAAGGTGGCTTAAATTTCACAAAATTTCTCTTTAATTGTTTATACTTTCACACCATTAATCAATTGAAAAAATGTGTGAAGATTAAAAGTTTAAAACTAAAAATTCATAAAATGTTTAATTTATCACATTTCTTGTACCTACTATAAAGTAACAGTATGTTTCAAAATATTTTTCCTTACATGCTGCACTTTGGTTGAAAGGGTCTGTGAAGCAGGTATGGTTATATTTTTAATTATTTACAATAGGGCTCTACACTTGTTCTCTGCATTTTACAATTATATTGAGAAATATTAATTTTGTTAACAGTGGATGAAAATTCAACTCTGTGGGTTGGGTCTGACAGAGATTATACATACGACGAGTTGTTGAATCGTGCCTTTGAAATAATGAGGGATAAGAATCCCGATATGGCTGCGGGCAAGAAACAGAAATTCGTAATGAGACCACCACAGGTAGTCAAGATCGGTGCGAAGAAAACATCATTCGCGAACTTTACAGAAATCTGTAAAATGTTGCATCGTCAGCCCAAACATTTATTGGATTTCTTGCTGGCCGAGTTGGGTACGAGTGGGTCTGTGGACGGCAACAGCCAGCTGATCATCAAAGGAAGGTTCCAGCAGAAGCAGATCGAGAATGTTTTAAGAAGGCAAGCGATTACATTTTCCTATAACTAATATATTACTTATCCGTGTCAATTTAAAATATTCCTATTAAAAAAAATAATTTGAGATTATGGTTCAATGTTTGTGGGAGTATAGTTTTTTATTCATAATTATATTTAGTACATCCATTAAAATTAAAAATTGTTTAATTTAAATTGCACACTTACAAACTTATATATTTGTTTATTTAAGAGGGTGTACTGCTTTACAACGTTCGAATAAATAGCTTCGTAAAACTTTTAGGTATATTTGTACAATCGAAGAGCACAACAAAATTTTTTTTTTTTGTCAAAATTATAAAATATAACAGATTCCTGCAGTTTCTAATTAACGGGGAAAGATTCAGCTCGTAATTCTTGTTCAAAATAAAAAAATTAAGATTTTTCTTCTAGGTAAGCCAAGAAAAAGCAGAGAAAAGCGTGAAATTGTAATTTTTTCAGTTTGAATGTTATTTAAGTAAAAAATTGTCTTTAACGTGCTATAAAAATTATTTAAGAAGGCTTTTTTAACAATCATTCTGTTTCACCTAGAAAATAATTTAATACTAAAGAAAATAAGCTTTGGTTTGTCTCAATAAGTCGCAGATTTTTTGCTATCACGTAATACAAGCTCGAAAAAATGCACTTTAAAGTTTTCATGAGGAGAAACTATTAATTGTCGGTTACTTAAGCTAATGATCTGCTAATTAGCTATTCCTGTTCCCTATAATGACCCTTGTGCTTGTTTAAATAACTCATTTAGCTGCATTTGCTTGAGTTTACGAGCCATATGAATCTTCTTGATGATCTACCATATTTCGAGTAAAAGGTCAACGTACCGAGCACGTGTCTGCGTTCAGTCAACCACTTGCACACCTGCTCGATGCTCACCTGTTTTCAGTTCTGTATCTTTAAAAATACTTCAAATTGGCCTCTATAACTCTGTGAGTATATTCTTGGATAATTTAGTTTGCCTAAATATGAATCACTGCACAAATAACAGACTTTCCTCCATTCTAACGCAGATTTTCTATAAAATGGAGTTAGTTTGAAACTCGAATCACTTTTTGTTGTAAAGAAATTTGTAATTTGCCACGTAAATTACAAATTTCTTTACACCAAAAAGTAATTTGAGTTTCAAAATAGGTCCATTTTATAGAAAATCTGTGTTAGAATGGAGGAAAGTCTGTTATTTGTGCATTAATTCATATTTAGACAAACTGTAATAAAATCTAAAAATGTATTGCTGGTTGCTTATTTCCTATATAGCTCTCTTAAGGAGAATGGAAAATGACAAAACCTTTATTATTTCTGTAAACAGAAATTAATATTTGTTCTTGATGTTTGGTACAAATCACTTTAAGGGAAGTACAAAATCCAGTGGTGTAGTCAGATTTCAAATATAAAATTCTCTATTCGTCAAATTTGCTACAAGAAAATAAAAAGTAGGCTTCAATGACTGAATAAATTTGTGTTTGTGCTCTAATAAGCTTTTTAATGTTATTACTTTTAAAATTAAAAGAAAAATGAATTCAGGCAATAAATATTCTTCACACTGTATATAAGGGGCATTCCACGCCAAATCAACCACTTTTAACCCTGACCCCTTTCGATTTGGCTGAAACTTTTTTATTGTTTTCTACCCCATTGAACTTTTTTCAAATTTTTTCACCCAACTCAAAAAATAGCTTCTTTTTAAATAACCATAACTTTTTCAAAAATTGAGTAATCGGGACGTTTTTTGTTTCAAAATTTTTGTTTTTAAATGTACTTCTTGAAAAAAAAATAGTTCAAAATTATCTGAAGCTATCTTCACTGAGTTTTTTCAATTTTCGAAAAAAAAAAACGAAAATTTCTCGATTACCATTTTAGAAAATATATTTTTTTTTTCTTATAAAAAAACTGACATTTTTATAAATCCTCAAATTGTTTCAGTGATGTTTTTTCGTTTTCTATTTTTTTTATTGATTGAAAATTTTTGAGTGTATATAGAAAATAGAAATAAAAATATAGGAAAGAAATAATTGAAAATGGTAAACATGAAAATAATTACGATTTTTTTTGAAAAAAATAAATCGTTTTGAATAATTTTTTTGTATTTTTTTTCGTAAACTACATCTAAAAACAAAGAAAATGAAAAAAATGTTATTTACTCCATTTTTGGACCAACAGGGCTTTAAAAAAGACATGCAACGCATTTGAACTCAAATAAATAATTTTGAAAAGATCCTCATTCGACTGAAATTGTCAATCAATCGCTGCATAGAATAAAATTGTTCAATTTTGGGATTCTATATACATTCAAAAATTTTCAAAATGGTATGTGAAATAAGCTAAAGAAAAATTTTTTCAATAAAAAAAATTGAAAACGAAAAAACCACTGAAAAAATGTGAGGATTTATAAAAAATTTAAGTTTTTTATAAGAAAAAAAAAAAAAAAAAAAATGNTCAATAAAAAAAATTGAAAACGAAAAAACCACTGAAAAAATGTGAGGATTTATAAAAAATTTAAGTTTTTTATAAGAAAAAAAAAAAAAAAAAATCAAAAATGGTAATCGAGAAATTTCGTTTTTTTTTCGAAAATTGAATAAAAACAGTGAAGATAGATAGGTCCAGATAATTTTGATCTATTTTTTAAAAAAATACATTTAAAAACAAAAATGTTTGTAAAAGTTATGGTTATTTTTTTCAAAAATTCATCTTTTTTTGAGTTGGGTGAAAAAATTTGAAATAATTCTCAGAGGTTTTCACTGGGGTAGAAAACAATAAAAACGTTTCAGTCAAATCGAAAGGGGTCAGGGTTAAAAGTGGTCGATTTGTCGTGGAATGCCCCATAAGTAGTCCACCCTCAAGGTATTAGAAAAAGTTGTGTATGAAAATTGAACAATAATGTTATGATTATTTCATTATAACCTTTTTCATAATTCATAACTTCCTTTTGGACGTTTTTCTACATCCGTTTTGTTGAAAAAATTCTTTTCGTAACTGCGATATTTTCTAGGATTTTATTAACGTTTTTCAGGTATATTAAAGAATATGTTACCTGCCATACATGTCGGTCGCCCGACACGATCCTTCAAAAGGACACGAGATTGTTCTTCTTGCAGTGTGAAACTTGCGGTTCTAGATGTTCTGTAGCTAGTATTAAGTCTGGTTTCCAGGTATGTGTATATTTTTCAGAAACGAGGAATTTTAAATGTTCACGTTTTTTTATATGAGGCATATCCACATATTTATGAAAAATTTACAACTGGCGGGAATCGGAATAGTGGCACTCATTTCAACGTGCCACTACAACAGTTATCAACCAAGTGAGACAAACGAGTGCACGTTCTGTTCCCTACACCTTGGCCTTGAATGCAGTGTTGCCAACTTTCTAGAAAACAAAAACCACATAGTCTCAATACTTTGTGGATATGTCTCATATATATTTTTTAAATTGTCATTTAGACATTAAATGAATTTATAACATTTTACGTTCATGCTTAATTTTGTTTTTATCTATTTTTAACATTTTTTTTTTATACAAATACTGAAAAATATTTTTTCATTTCATTTAAATTTCTTTTTTTCTTTAACGGTTGTCATTTACGAATAATTTCTTTTCAGGCCGTAACATCAAAACGTGCTGCCATTCGAGCGAAAACAGCCTAGACCCAAGGATCGGTAATGCAATATTATATTTTATGTTATTAAATGGCACTTTTATATATTTAATAATTAATAAGGTCGTGCTGATGGTTTGGTGTTGTGTGTCCATTACACTTTGTACCATAAATCTAGCAGAATTGTTAAATAAACCTAACAAGTAACTGAAAACAATTTTATTTAAATTTTAAAAAATGCTGAAATAGTTTACCAATAAAAAATTTAAAAAAATACAAATTTTGCGAGTGTTTCCTCACTCGACTTCCCCCCGAGCCCCCCCCTCAGTGTCTACAATACATTTTCCTTTAAAATTGCCAGAGCCTTTATCAAGTCTGCATCCCCTGTAAAAACTGATATATCACAAAATCTAAAAAAAAAGCTTAAAACTGAAATAAATGTAATGAAATGAAGTATTCAATTGGCCATTCCAACAAATTTACCATCTTTTTACCTCCTGAATGCTCTTATAAATGTCACAGGTGGATTCACCTAAACTAGGTCGATGTCAGAGTTCATCGATTCTGAAATTCACGAACTGAACACAGTGCTTTAAAAAAGAGTACAAATGCTTCTTCATGCCCAATCTCAAGGGATCTGTATTTCCAAACAAGTTTAATTGAGGACGTTTATTTTTGGGGAAAAATGGGTAGGAAAGTAGAAATTAACTTATTTTGTACACAATTTTATTCAACAATGATCAAAATTTTGTTCCACAAAAAAATTGACACGTAATAAAATTATAAATAGGTATTACTAGCTTATATTGCCAGTTTTTAAAATCATTCTGACATCTGGAACCATTCCAAAATAACCCAAAACTTGCAAGGTCACCTCTCTTGCCCACCTTCTGATTCTATTAATGCTGAAAAAAATTACATAACATATACAGAGTGAGTGCAGGAGAAGGCAGTTCAAAGTTAATATTTTCAGATGTTTATGGAGCAGACCGTAATCCAGAAAAAAAATGTGTACATTTTCCCTAGCCTTTTTTCACCATCAATTATTTATAAATTAATCTCAAAATTATTTGAAAGATGCTTAACAGAATTCGTAGCAGCAATAATTACGTACAGGGTGATTCACTATATTTTGACCCCCCTTTAACTTGTTTGCAGGAATTTTTATGATGTTTTCGAAAATTATAGTACAAAAACAAATGAAGTCCAAACAAAATGGCCGCGTATGTTAACTTTGTTAATTTAAATGGAACACCCGGTATACTTTTACGTATAAGGTTTATTGGGTCCATCTCTAACAATAAACAAAACAGTATTAAATAACGAAAAGAAGGTTTTTTATTAAGGAAATATGATTATTGTAATTGTTAAACCTCCTTTTAAAAATCAAAAAAATTAATAATTCTCTTCAATGGTGTCAGTATTTCGGAATTTTAAAACCAATTCAATCATCAAATAGTTGGAAAGTAATAAATTCAAGGGTGTGGATAAAAAATTTAAAAAAGTACGAGCATCATTACTAATTATGGAGATAAGAGCAAAAATCTGTTTTGAACAACGATAAATTACTAAAACTAAGAGTTAAAATAATTCAAATTTTACTTACTTTAATATGGCCTCAAAGTATATCCAAAGTGGAAAATTTAACACCCGAGTTAAAATATATTGACAATCTCCTTGACCATATACCCTTTTTGTTGCAGCTCTTGCTAAAACGGTATATCTATCTATAGGGTTTCCATGATCATGCGCAATTGCTCGAATCGTGTTTAAATTTCTGAAAAATATTTTTTTTAAGATCGTACAAATTTTTTTAGAATATAATTAAAAATGTGGTTAAATATGTACAGCTACGGACAATAAAAATTTCCTATCCAGTTTACCGTCCTTTATAAAACAGTTTCATTTCATTCTTTAAACCAAAGGCAACATTTTAGATTTGAAACTTTTTGTCCACAAATGTAAAACATGGGGAAAAATAATTCCGAAACGGTAAATCTCTATTATGCCCTACTTTACGATGCTAAAACGGTATATCTACCTATAAAATTTTCATAATCATGCGCAATTGCTCTAATCATGTTTAAATTTCTGAAAAATATTTTTTAAGATCATACAAATATTTTTAGAATTTAATAATGTGGTTAAGTATGTACAGCTACGAAAAATAAACATTTCCTATTCAGTTTATTGTCCTTTATAAAACGGAGTTTTATTTCATTCTTTAAATCAAAGGTAATATTTTAGGTTAGAAACTTTTTTTTGTCCACAACTGTAAAATAGTTTAGGGGAAAAAGAATTCCGAAACAATAAATCTCTATTATGCCCTACTTTACGATGCTAAAACGGTATATCTATCTATAGGATTTCCATGATCATGTGCAACTGCTCTAATCGTGTTTAAATTTCTAAAAATAATTTTTTAAATCTTACAAAACCCTTTAGATAATTAAAAATGTGGTTAAATATGTATAGCACGGACAATTAAAATTTCCTATCCAGTTTATTGTCCTTTATAAAACAGCTTTATTTCATTCTTTAAACCAAAAGTAACATTTTAGGTTAGAACTTTTTTTGTCCGCAACTGTAAAATACTTTCGGGGAAAAAGAATTCGGTAACAATAAATCTATTATGCCATTTCCATGATCAAGCGCAATTGCTCTAATCATGTTTAAATTTCTGAAAAACATTTTTTAAGATCACACAAATTTTTTTAGAATTAATAATGTAGTTAAATATGTACAGCTATGGACGAAAAAAAATCCTATCTAGTTTATTGCCCTTTATAAAACAGTTTTATTTATCTGTTTAAACCACAGGTAACATTTTAGGTTAGAAATTTTTTTTGTCCGCAACTGTAAAATACTTCAGGGGAAAAAGAATTCAGAAACAATAAATCTCTATTATGCCCTACATTGTGAAGCTGAAACGGTATATCTATGTATAGGATCTCCATGATCATGCTCTAATTGTGTTTAAATTTATGAAAAATATTTTTTGAGATCCAATTTCTTTTAAATATAGTTAAAAATATATTTAAATATGTACAGCTACGGACAATAATAATTTTCTATCTAATCCACTTATGAAACTGGTTTTTATTTCACTCTTTAAAAAAAAGGTAACATTTTAGGTTAGGAACTTTTTTCTGTCCACAACTGTACATTATGGCGAAAAAAATTCCGAAGCAATACCTAAATCTCTATTATTCTCTACTTCTTACCTTATTACTAAAAGAAGTGTACAGGGCATGGTTTGCAAGCAACAAATAATACTGTCAAATCTTTTCCTAGCAAATTCAGTCATATATTTCAAGTCTTCTTCACTTAACTTCACTTTAAGTCTAAATCCATAGGACTTTAAGGGCGATTGTGTTAGTATTTCAGCAAATAGTTCGTAGTCTAAAATGATTACCTAACAATTACCCGATATATTACGAATGGTTCGCTTACTTTCTACTCCGAGTTCATTTGCATATTTTTTCATGTTAACAAGATCATTTAAAACTATAGCCTTCCACATGTAGCCGAGTGCTATCCTGTCTTTATCTGAAATTGTTTGATACAGCCCGTGGTCAAGCAAAATTAATTGAGCTTTTCCATTTACTCTTCTCACTAAAACTGTACCACCATGTCATAACTCTTACTTATTTGAATGTATTAATTGTTAAATTTATATTTCTTACCGTTTCCAGGATGAGGATCGGCGTGAACAAATCCCGTTTGAAATATCTGATGTCCAAATGCTTCAAACAGTTTATTATTTAGATCGGCTAGAGAGAATCCGTTCTTCTTTAATTTTTCTACCTCGTTTATCTTGTAACCCTCTACAAATTCAGTTACGAGCACTCTCTGCAAAGTAAGGTATGAATCACATTTTCGGTATTTTCGGTGATTCGTAATAAAATACCGTACTGGTGTATTCCCAAAAAACCTTTGGGATGTAGATGTATTTGAGATGCTGTAGATCTTTAGCGCACCTTTCACTATTCTGGCCTTCCTTTATAAAATCTAGTTCTTGTTTTAAGGCTTTTTCCAAGTCAGCAAGCACCCAAGTAAAATTGAAATTGGGGTGTATGAAAGCTGCTATTTTTAGTAGGAAATTAATTATCTGTACATCGTTTTTAAACCGTTTTTGTAAGTCGATATATTGTACTTTCACAGCCACACATTCGTCATTTTTGGTTGTAGCTTTATATACCTGCAACCCACAATTTAATGCATAATATACAGAGTGAAGACTTATGGGTGTAGTATGAAAGTAGAAAACAAAGGAAATTCAAATGTTATTTATTCTAAGCTTGCTATGATCCTTTACATGACAATTTTTCAAATATTGTATCAGCAATTTTTTTATTTGAAATCTAATAACATGAAACGAAATGGATTTAGCCGATATTAACACTAGACGACTCAATTGTGATAGTTTTAAGTCCACTTTAGCTTTGAAAATTTGTTTTGCAATTTAATGGGGGTTTATTAGTAAATTATTTTATTATCTTTACCTGAGCAATACTGGCTGCAGCGATAGGTTTACTTTCAAAACTTTTGAAAATTTCCGAGGGATCTTTCCCAAAATCTTCCAAGAAAAGTTTTTTAATCTCGTCATCATCTCTAGCCAAACACTTGTCCTGTAACGCTTTCAGTGTTTCTATATATTGTTTTGGTAAAATATGGCTCATAGACACCAAACCTTGTCCTAGTTTTATATATGACCCTCCATTACATAAACAGCCATACAAAATGTTATTTGCAGCTCTCCGATGTATTCTACTCATCATTGCATTATAATTTGGCTGGGATTCATTCAAGCCCATCATAGAAAAATAATAATCTACAGATATCCATAGTCCTATTTTTAAAGATCTGAAATGATGATGGTGCAAAAGAAATATTTGAAGCAAACTCCAGTTTAATTTGAAGGAAAACCGAAATATCATTTATTCTCTTTTACGTGAGTTTATAATCTTTTCTCATAAATTTCATACCTTTTCTGGTTTTATTTTCCTTCTGTTCATGTTATGATAAATGTTGGCGTACCAGAAAAGTCAGGTTCTTTTCTTTCCTAAACTTTATATGTTGCAAAAGCTAGGTACATACTGTGCAAAATGTAATATAAAAACGTAGACAAGGTTGGGACTGTTGGGAGTTATTTTTTCACTTCAACTTACCGCAAAAATCGAATTCCACCATAAACATTAGCTACAATATTTCCAGAGTCCTCTTTACAATTTGTAACAACTGCAGGGAGTGCAGTTGCAGTTGCACAACCAACACCAATTCCTGTATATTTTACAAACTTTTGAACGTTATTATTGTAACTTAATAAATATTTCCACAAATAATTAAACGTTCGACTTTTCGACATTGCTCTCCTCGATAGAAAATATCTGAAACAAAACGATACATTTTTATAAAAATTATCCACTAGGAAATATTGGAAATTAGATTAATTTAAAATAATGATTATATGAATGTACTTTATATACATTACTGTTAATTGCAATAATGGAATATCATTAAAAACATGTAAATAATAAATATGTAACAAAACAACGTAACAACGCTACAACACCATTACAATTCGTAAGAACGATCAGGTCAGATCATAGGGTCAGATAGAGATGCTCTTATGCACAATAAAAGTTATGAACAGAGACAGACTGATCTAAAACGACGGGTTGCGGGTTGCGTCTCCCTTGTACCCACCACCGAAGACCACAGCTACAGCTGATTGGTGTGCCCTTTTAGCTACCTGCTAGATAGCGCTAGATTTATTCAGCGCCTGAACTGGGCTGAATGCTGCTGTGTTCGTCGATTTTTGGTAAAATTTGTGTTTTTCGACCCCGTTAGTCGTTGTTTGAGATTTAACACACAACACAATACAAAGGTAAGTTTATAAAATCACTATTTTAGCGTGTTGCCATAGAAAATTGAATATTAAAAATAATCTGGTTTCGAATTATATCAGCTGATTGTTGCCAAAAGCCCAAGTATGTATGCATAGTAGTATAACTGTAATTCTAATTGAAATTTTTAAAATTGATGTTTGTTATATTTATGACACATTCTCAATTAGTTTCTTTTCAAGTTATTTACCTTTGTAGAGTAGGTAGTTCTTTGTCTTTTCTGTCGTTTTGAAAGAGGCGCTGGATCGATGATGCAATCCTACTGAAACTGAGGGTTAAATAAAGAGAACCGAGTGTTTGCAACACAAATTTATGTAACTAACAGAGATAGTAAAAATTTCTGCGTGCGCACTTTATTATGGTTTCTTTAAGTATACCTACTTATAAGCATCAGTATTTATTCAAGTTCAAGTATAAAATATTCATTCCTATCCTTTCATTTTTATCTAACAATAATATATTTTAGTTTAGTTATGATTTTCACTAGTGACAATGTTTCTTCTTCCATAATTATTGTGGCCAATGAATTTTTCTTATCCAAGCCTACCTAGGTATAATAATTGTTTTATAATTACGAGACCTGTTGTACCTACACCTACTTAGGTAGCAGGTAGGTCTCAAGGTAGGTAGGTTTATATATAGAGCAGGTAAATTTCGAAATTTTGAGGATATTTCTAGCTTTTCTCAATAAGATATTATGTATATAGACAAACCAGCTCGATTTTCAAGAAGTATTGAAGAGATAGTGGCGTATATCATTTTTGGGCGTGTTTGTAACAATCACATTATTTACAAAAAAGTTTACAAAAAAATTTACAAAAGGCAAACTTAAATCCTAGGTATGTTTTGAGAATTCAACTTTTTCAAGGGATCAATTACATATTGTGGTATTTTTCTTTAACTATATGTTCATATACCCAGGTCATCTATCGAAAAAATTATTAACATATAAATTGTAGTCATTTATCGACATTAATTCTATTATTTCTATTATGATATTACTGAAATACCTATCTGCTATTCTGTTGCCAAATTCGCACGGTCCCAAAATCATTAATTTCATAATCTAATAAGTACCTAAGTAAGTATACATAAGATATGTTTATATGTATGAACTATTTTCTTATTTTTATGTGTAGAAATCAACGACTCCTGCAATTATAGGAATATTTTTGTAGCACGAAAACACGTATTTTGATTTTGATCCATGTATCAATATGGTAAAAATAAGATACCCATAGGCGTAGGCAAAGTGTATGTTGTACGAGGGGTAGAGAGGAACTCAAAAAAGTATCATCCTTTACTTATGTTATTTCTTTTACAAATTTGAGTATAACATATCAGTAGCCGCTGAGTATTTTTTTATTTGTTTATTTGTTTAGGTATAGAATGAAACTAGTGCTAAGTATATAGACACAGTTGCTCTAAATCTTCTCAATTTGATTCCAGAAATGTAGTCAAATCTTTCAGGGCATATACAGGGTAGGAAAGTACCGATGGTCTACAGGGTAGGAAAATACCGATGGTCTATCTGAAGTTACGTGAGAGCGATAAAGTAAGCCATAGAAATCCATACGATAGAGAAGGATGGCTATAATGAAGGCGTATCATAGTCACCGCCCGTTTCGCCCTTCTACAAATAAGATCCACTTCTTATTTGTGGAAGGACGAAATGGCGTTGACTATTAGACGCCTTCATTATAGCCATCTTGTCCATGGATTTGTATGGCTTACTTTATCGCTCTCACGTAACTTCTGATAGACCATCGGTACTTTCCTACACTGTATCTGAATTTACGTGAGAGCGATAAAGTAAGCCATAGAAATCCATGCGATAGAGAAGGATGGCTATAATGAAGGCTTCTCTTAGTCACCGCCCGTTTCGCCCTTCCACAAATAAGATCCACTTCTTATTTGTGGAAGGGCGAAATGGGCGTTGACTATTAGACGCCTTCATTGTAGCCATCCTTGTCTATCACATGGATTTCTATGGCTTACTTTATCGCTCTCACGTAACTTCTGATAGACCATCGGTACTTTCCTACACTGTATATCTAAAATATTATAAGAAATATTTGTTGTTTCTACATATCATTTCAAAATCCTTATTTTTTTCAGAAAAAAATAGATAAGTATTAAAAGCTATAAATATTGCTAGTGGTATTAATGATCTTTTACATCGACCGGTACAATCAGATAGGATGTTGGTGTCTTGTTTGTTTTTGGATAAAGATAGAGGAAGTTCTACGCCTTATTCTCCGGTTTTAGATTTTAATTTGACCTGGTGACTTTATCCGGAACTGTACATAGATGTGAGGGGTCGGCTCGTGGTTCATACGATGTTTTCTAAAATTTGTATTACACTGGTTGCTTTCTGTAGTTATCTTTTTTAGGTATGGGCCACGACAAATTTTTGATCTTTTTATCGTCATATTTTGAATATAGGTATTTTTTAAATTCAATATCCTTTATTACAAATGTTCTACGACCCATGTTTTAAGAAACTTTTTCTCAATATAATTTGTTGTGTACCTGGCGAAGTTCCTAAATCACCCTATGTTATTAAGTACCTTCAGAAGAATAAATCAAAATTCAATTTTAAATAAAATACATGGCGTCTTTTATTATTTTAAACCGGTTTTTAAACGGCCTAAATTTGACAGTATCTGTTAAATACACAAGTTGTTGACTGGGGTGTGTTCTAAGTAATTTAAAATATTGGTGACTATTTTTCGTCATTCTAAAAAAAAACACAAATTACCTAAACTTAAGTCTTGAAATGTTCCTTTCTTGGACAGAGAAAAAATAATTTTCCTACCTATTTTTCTTTATGAACGCCATTAACAAACTTTTTACTTTTTTTTATTTTTTAAATGTGCGTTACTGGTTTTACTAAAATATAACGATTCACTGTGTGGGTTCTGATTTAGTTTGTGATAATGTTAATGCTACAGAAGAGCTCAAATTTGGAAATTCTATGGGGATGTTACACCTTATGGTATGGTGTAATGTATGATTTCTATATTAGGGAGGACGAATGAGGGTTGACGCGTACTGAATGCTATGGGGGCATCGCCCCCATACAATTTTTTCTAAGAGGGCATGCGCCCCGTTGACATTGCCACCGTGGAATCAGCACCTGTGTAAATGTGATTATAGTGTTTGTTAATCACTATTTTTTAGTTTGCCGCAAACATTTTATTTGAAATCAATAGTCCACGATTTTTACAAAGCAATTTTCATTTAATATATCTTCCTCATTTCGTGAATTTTTTAAAATTTTGAATATCCAAGAGTGAAATGATTTGTAAATAAATTCGTACTTATTTTGTTGTTTGGTTTTTAATAAGGTCGCTTCCTTTTTATAATTTGCTTAAAATATTAAACGTACTTTCAGGTTATACTAATTATATCACTTACATAATAACATTCCAAGTAGTTTCATTTGATTAACATTCAATAATCATCGTATACAGAGTGATCATACGAAAGTTGACGCCTCTCTTCCTCTTTTTTTTGTTCCCTTGTGACTAACCCTGATTGTAAGTTAATTTTGGATTTCAGTATTTTGGGTTTCATAAAAAATTTAAATGTTGCGTGCTTGTAACAACTAAAATTAGGCATAATCAGGAGGCTTGACCTAATTACTTTTATTTATATTAGATATAACTCGTATAGAAATCAATTAAATATTTTGTTTTTGTTATGGAAATTAATTAAGTAAATGTGGTAATTAATTGATATATTTTTTCGTAAATAACATCATTGTTTTATTCTTATCTTTTTCATTTTACTAATTTGACCTTAGGAAATGAAAGAAGCGAAACTTTCCTATTTTTGTGTACTATTAGTCTATTGTATTTTATTATCTAGTAGGTACATTTATTTGTCACGTGTGCAATATGTTGGGTCTAAGTTCAACAAATTACGCGTTATTTCTATAGACAAAAGTCGTAGAATTTAGAACGTAAATGTGAAGCCGTTATTTTCCCAAAAATAGTTCATCAAATACCATTTTTCGGTATTAATAAACACATACAAATTTTACGAAGTGTGGATGGAATAATTATAAATTGTATGTCTCTGTTATACATACAGATACAAATATTTTTAACAGTGTGCTCCGGACATCGGAAGACGCCATGGAGCAAATACTTTTATTTTTAAACCGTTTAACAGTTGTCAATTGTTGTGATTCCGTTACTTAGCGTTTTACAGACAGAAAGTGCAGTCAGTGAATCCAGAAGCAGCTGACTGGTAGCTAGTAATACCGTTGTACAAAAGTAGGTACATATAAATGTGTTTATACAAACAACTTGAATACGCCGTATGATTCTCCTATATAGCTTTTATAGAAGTAGTATTGATTTCTATGTACTAATGGTCCTCACTTTCCCCTATCAACAAATTCATCGATGTGGGGCACATTTGTAGATATAAAATAGGTTTTAACATATAACTACAGTTAACATTTACTATTTAATACCTCAGCTATATATTTTAAAATTTAGGTCGAATTGATCACTATTGGTGTCAGAATAAAATGTTTAAATTGGACACTATATCAGGTTGTCCATGTTACATTGAGGGAAATAGCATTTAAATATAAGATAGAAATTGTCTAACCATGACAAAACATTTTCTTTAAATAGGGTCCAGAAAGGTTGCATAAGAAATATTTTGCTAAATTTTCTAAAAACTCTTCCTGTTGCAATATTGGACACAAAATGGCTATGTGGCTCTCGCATCTGCGTGTCAACTATGATTACTACACGTTAAAAAAAATCTAGCTACTGTAGCACTGTACTGTACTAGCCATAGGTAATTATTTTTAACAGTTGATTTAGGTAGGCCGCAACTAAAGTCATTTACCTAGAAAAATTGCTATTGTAATACAGATGATCTTAGCAAAACTTTCTTATAGGTCGATTTTCCGCACTGTACACTTCAGCTAGGTGCTTAGAATATTAAGTATTGGTAC